CAATATCCAAACTAATCATCATAGCGTTGTTTTGTAGGTTATGTCAAGACTTTCAAATTATGTATAGTGTTGCCAGATACGAGCTCTGTAGCGCTTTGTACATAGCCGCGAAATTCAAAAGACAAAAAAGCGGAAGGGAGATATATGACAACCTTATATATAATTTGTTTAAAGGAATAATATTTTAAACTGAACGAATCTGAAAGCGAAATCTGCATAGATTTGACATACTCAGAAAGTCTAAAAGACCTGTCGCTCCTCGGACCCTGCCTGGTATTGATTATCCAATGCACGTTCTGGCTCTAGATTCGTTTTTCGAAACCGGTAGTTTAATTACTGTTGACTTTTTAACTCAGAACTTTATCAGACAATTTGACATCAGTAATAATAATATAACCTGGTACCAGACGTATAGTGAATATAACAGCAGTTTAATGAAGTAGCATGGATATAGAATTATTGCAAATGTCTTTATGGCAAACTGGCTAGCTCTGCTAATACGCACGTAAGCTTTCAGAATCTACCTATGTTTATTTCTAGATCGAGTTTTTATAACATAAGGTTTACTTCAAATTATAAGATCGCAACATAACATATTACTTTAGAGACAAGTGAGCGTTACTGTTGTCATTGTAACAGTTATTTCGATCCCGTTTTGAGATGAGATTAATTGTTGTCATCGATAAGTGTAGCCATAGACTGACTAGAAAGAAACGATTTGTGTCATCCGAGTACTAATGAAAGGCAGTTTATTTAACTTGTTGGGTATTCAATTCACACAACAGTTGGTTTAACTCTACCGAAGTTGATCTGAATTTTATCCAGCCAAGAATTGACATTTCAGATATCTAATCATTAGATAAGCTGATGCTGTTCCGTACTCCATTAACGTAAACGTGACCATAAAAGTGTAAAAAAAAAGCAGATATGATAGTGCCTTAAACAAAAGAGCGTAAAACCATGACAATCTCTAAGACAATAGTCGGTACATGGTTTACATGTGGAGATAAGTTATGGAATTATTCAAACGACTCATGATCTGTGGTTAATTGTTAATACTTAAAATATAATCTTTGGTTCTAAACCGGCTTCAAAATTTGATAATGATCAATATCTATAAAAGTCAGTATAAAATGTTAGACTCTTACTGTAAGAACTTGTCAGACAAGTTAAACTTTCTGTAAACAGCTTACAAGGTTAATATTCATTTTCTGTTTTTGTTTTCTATTCTTCGTCTCGTCATGTTGTTTAGCCATATTAATTTTGCATAACTGTATTATGATTATCGTCTTATAAATTAGGGCATAAGTAATTAACGATTTTTTGTTTAATTCAAAAATTAGACATGCTGATTTAGTGGTTTTGATGCGTCTTTAAATGGCATGGCAGATTTTCGTGAACAATATAAATAAATATAATAACACATACATATATACTATTATATTATATTATATATTATATATATAAATTAATAAAGAAAAATACGATGAAAGCGAATAAAAAACTTGTATAGCCAAAATTAGCGCCCCATTCTAGTGATAAGAGACGGCCTCGCTGGTGGTTGTGCTGCCAGCTGAGCATCCGCAATGACAACGATACAAATGTAATTACGAGTATTTACAAGAGTTGGTGGATAGATCCAGTATAGCACAAAATCTGATCGTTTCAAATCAAGCTTTAACTTTTTTATTTGACAAGATATCTTCACGAACTTTAGTATGGATTATTGTACAAGACAGCGCTACAAGCTCCGAATGTATGGTTCAGATCGGACCCCTACAGCATATACATATGTACCTGCCATACAAACTGAACAATCAAAATAAAAAAATCTTTATTTGTTATTTTCAGAGTGGTCACACAATTTTTATACTCTCGCTTGCTACGTTGCTACAGAGTATAATAGTTTTGTTCACCTAACGGTTGTTTGTATCACCTAAAACTAATCGAGTTAGATATAGCGTTATATATATATAAATGATCAGCCACGCCCACAAAACGCCATTAATCAAAAACAAATAAATTGCCATAACTAAGCTCCGCAATAAGATATAAGACTGTTATTTGGTACACAGGATCACATTAGGGAGGGGCATCTTCAGTTAAATGTTTTTTTTAAAAGTGGGCGTGGTCCCGCCTCTAATAGGTTTAATGTGCATATCTCCTAAACCGCTATTGCTATAATAACAAAACTCACTGCAAGCAAATGTTTTTAGCACTTCTATTGACGGTGTGAAAATAGTTGAAATCGGGTGGCAACTCCGCCCACCCCCCCTATAACGGTACTGTTAAAAACTACTAAAAGCGCGATAAATCAAGCACTAAACACGCCAGAGACATTAAATTTTATCTCTGGGATGGTATGAGATGACTTTATAGGACCGCGTGCAAAATTAGACAGTGGGCGTGGCACAGCCCACTTTTAGGGGAAAACCCATATCTTGAGATCTGCTTAACCGATTTCAACCAAATTCAGTGCATAACGTTCTTTTCATGTTTCTATGTCATAGTGCGAAAATGGGCGAAATCGGACTACAACCACGCCTACTTCCCATATAACACCATTTTAAATTCCATCTGATTCTTTCACTTTCCACTAGGCAACAATGACTGTATCGGGATAAAACTTTGCGTGAATAATGCGATTAAAGTATGCCACCTTGTGGCCAAAAATTGTCTAAATCGAACCAAAACTGTTTAAGCCCCTAAGTACTAAATATGTGGACCCCAGTGCCTATAGTTGACCTTCTACCGAAAATATCAGTAAATCCACAAAGAAATCTCAAACGAGTATACTATTTGACTTTGCGAGAGTATAAAATGTTCGGTTACATCCGAACTTAGCCCTTCCTTACTTGTTTTATATAATTTTCAATTTTTTTCCGAGGCTTTCAAGATCAAGAGAAATTTTCAGTCTACTAAAATTTTTGAGCGGAAAGGTTTCTTCACATTTTTAAAAGGCATTTGATTTAGCGTGGTTAAAACAGGAAAAACGTGGTGGAAAAACATACCCTTCCTTTGTAACTTGGCTCTTTTTTTGCTTTAAATAAATTTAGTATACTGATATAGTTTATATTGTAGTTCAGAAAAATCTGCGTCTATGATTTGCGTAGTTACCCTTTTCAAAATTAACCGAGGATTTACTTCAGTACAAATACTATAAACGGACATTTTACCTTGATTTCCAGATTCAATTTCAATTAAGTCCGCTTCTTCACTTTGTTGCATGACTTCTGGAGCTCGTGGAGGTAAATCTTTTTTGGAATTTAGCGTGGTTTTATTTTCCTCTTGTACAAATATACAAGAAAAATGTCATAGACAATGAGTATATTAATTCAAATATTTTAATTATACTTAAGACTTCTCCTAGACCGCCTTATTTCACTCAATGAACTTTAAGATAACCCACATCGCTCATTTTTTGGGCAATCTAAGCATGTATAGTTTTCTTTTTTTATTTTGTTGCATGTTACAAGTTTTCAATACTATTGTCGAACTGAGAGTCTTTTGCTGGATTTAAAATATTTCTAAAAGCTTTAAGATGCTTTTTTTTTGGTGACTTTAAGCTTGGAGCTTAGCTTTGGCGTTTCTGCTGATGTGAAATATATTTGATAATATTCTACACAAATTTGTAGGGAAGCCGTCAAATCGTTTCGGCGATATCAGCGTATTTGTAAATATTTCTTAACTCAATGTAATTTGCAACCAAAACTTTTTTTTCTCGAAACTCTATTTTTAGAGTAGGTGAGGAAACTTTCTCCGAATTGCTGTACCGATCGACCGGAATTTTTACACGGCCTGCTTTGATGTATTTGTTAGGTATTGATCGAAGAAATAAAATTTTTGATAATAATTAAAATTTTTACGCGCATCAGAAGCTTTTTTTGGGAAGTTGGCATTTTGTCAAAATCTAAATTTTGACTAGTACTTCAATCATTACTTGTATTAGTTTATTGTAATAGTAAATTTTTTTTTGCATTTGAGATAATTTTAAGCAGCATATTAGCTGAGGCGGCAGTCGGCCTTGAAATAACTTTATTGAGATATTCGCAAATTCTTTTTTATCGAAATCCGCACAACAACATATTGAGCCGCCCTTGTGTACACACCCAAGACTTTCTTGTTTATCAAAATTCGGCGCTTGCACAGTAGACGTACAAAAACACATATATACAGCTGTACATATGTGTGTATGGGTGCAAAAGTTTGCGCTAATATTAAATTGTTGAAATATGTAAAAAGTCATATAATCATAAAACAGGCTAATAATGATTAGCGCTGTGATAAGAAGTTAACGCGGCACTCAGATGTGGAGTTGTGTTTGTAAGTAAGCGCTGCTACAATTTAACTACTGTATTATACATCTGCAAAGGTGTATATAGGCAACTGGACGGACGAATGACTATTTGCCTAAATTGAAAAGTGGAAAAAAACGGACGCTGAAATTTCTCAAGCGGACGCGAATGCGTACGGTAGACGCTTATACGACACACATACACGAGCACACGGGCGGAGAACTGCGCTGCCATGTGTGTGTGTGTGTGTGTGTGTGTTAGTAGCCTATACTAGATCCATATCAACAAGTGGGAACATGTGCGTGTATGTGTGTGTGCTGGCGTTTTAAAATGACTTGACGCTGTAGAATTTATTGTTTTTGCATTGCTGTTGTTTTTGTATTGGGTTTGATTATTGAAGACGGTGGCTGATACCGCTGCCGTGAGTCGTCAAACGCCAGCAGCGCACACACACGCACACACAACAGGCATGTGGCGTCTCTTTCGCCAAGCGACTTTTATTTACTTGTAGACTCGCTTACTCTCACTCTTACTTCGACTAGCGGCAATATTACCTACAGGCGTACACACTCAGCGCCACACCGGCTGCACACATGCATGTATGTATATATGTATATATGCGCGCTATTGACACTGACCACACCAACACACACAAACATACTTAGGTCCGATCGCCACTAGCAGCCGCCAGCCGAACACCCAGTCACCGCGCGCTCAACGCTGATGCCAGCGCCGCTGCCGTTGTCGCTCGTAATCACAGTTTCCTTAACAGTTTCGCTAAGACTATATCATTAGCATTATTACTAAGTCGTTTTAGTCCGAGTGTAGAACAACATTAGTGCCGTAGTCGTCCGTCGGTACTTTTTGTTGCATTTTATTGTGTGTGTGTGTTGTGATACGCCAATCGCACCGCCTAAGAATGTACGTTGCGAGACTCACCGCTGATTAGTCGACTACTACAACTGACAGTTAACTGTTGACACACTTCGGCTTACGGTCGTCCACGGTTCTACATTGCTACGTCTGCTGCTGCTGGGGACACGAAAATACAAACACAACAAATATATCGGGGTAAATAAGCGTTGAAGAAATTAAAATTATCCTGATAAGAGTGAAAGCGCGCACAGACATACATACATACATGTACATGTAGCGGCAGCTAGCTTTGCAAGTGCATCCCTGCTGCGCGTATTGAAAACAAAATTAATTTATTTGAACTTCAATTTTTTTTTGTTGTTGCTTGGAATATGACATCCGGACTTTTCCGACTTTTCAAGTGCATTTTAGCTTTTAACTAAAACGCGGAACAGTAAAAAAAATTAAAAGCAAATTTAAAAAATTAAAGAAAACAAATTTTGAAATTCAAGAAAAATTTATTTTTAAAAAAATTTTTGTTAAAAACCTTACAAGAAAAAATTAAATAAAAGGCGAAACAGTAAAAACAAGTTATGAAAAAAATTTTATTAAAAAAAAAACATTATAAATAAAAAAATTTTTGTAAAAAAAGTTAAAAAATTACAAATAAAAAAGTTTTTGTAAAAAAAACATTTTAAAAATATATTTATGTACTTATGTATATATATATACATATAATAACTTACAATATCCCCACGTGCCTCAGATGTGCATTATGACAATTCGAATTCGCGCACACGAGGAAAAGCTTTAAGGTGCGATCTGTTGAGTATTCTATGCAAATCTTCGCGCCAAGTGTGCATTGTTGTGTACTTAGTGCAAGCCAAAAGTGACTGTCAAGGCAAGGCAAGGCAATATTTTGTTTTTCGGTAAATATTTAATATTTGTGTTTAGCTAATTTGTGTGCGGCAAAAGTAACGAACAAAAATAAACAGAAAAAAATTACACATACGTATGTACATATTTATATATAAATACATACATACACACACTCATCGATACGCCAGATTTGTTTGCTAAGCTATTTGTTTTCGCCTTTGACGCGCGTTGCATGCCTTTTAACAACTGCCTGGCGTATACAACAAGTGCCTAGAAAGTGTCAACTGCATGCAGCTAAGTTACTAGGGGATATGTTAAAAATGAAGACAGAAGTGCTATCGGGTAGCAGCTTTGATGATTCCTATATATTTGAGGATAATCTGCTGCGCATGATCGGTGAGTAAGCGTAAATTAAAAAAAAGTTTGAAAATTTATTTTAGTAAAATAAAATATTATAGGAAATATAGAAATAGTGAAATTTTATAGGATAGTAAAATTTTATAGGAAATTAAAGTTTTATAGCAAAGTAAAATTTTATAGGAAAGTAAACTTTTATAGCAAAGTAAAATTTTTTGTATGTGACGCAAGTGCTATAAAGGCGTGGTGTATAAAAAAATACACTGGTCAACAGAGATTTGTGCAAAGTAGCAGCTTTTTAGTAAAGTAAAATTTTATAGTAAAGTGACGTAAGAGGCTTACAAAGGTGTGGTGATCAACCGAAATTTAGTGCAAAGCAGTTGCGCTTTTAAAATTTACACCTTCAGTTTCGAGATATCGACACATAGACTGTTTTCTTAAGAAAAATATCTCTAAACTAAAAATATCTATTATTTAGAGTATTGGTATACCGCTAAAAATTTGTATCCGGAAAATAATTCAAAATCTTAATATACCTATTTTAGTCAGAAAATTACTATAAAATAAATTTTTTAAACTATCAATAATTTGTTATTAATAAAATTATATTCGAAAATATTATTTTTTATAATTTTTTTTTTAAGTGAATTCGAAATATTAACGAAAATAGTTTATTTTATCAGAAAATGGCTATCAAATTAATTATTTACAAAATCAATAATTAGATTTCAATTAATAATTCAATCAAAAATCAATTATTAGTTTTCAATTAAAAAGTTAAATTCCCTTTAAAATGACAGGAATAGCGGGATATATTTACATTCATACATATGTATGCGTATACATTTTATATACATATGTACATACAAAAATAAACTTCAGCTTTTATGGAGTTAAAATTTTGTAATGTAACATAACCTAACTTTTAAAACGAAATATTACTCATACTTATAAAATTTCAGGCTTTAAAGCTGCTTATTAAAAAATGTTTACACTCCCGATTCATTCCAATTTATATAATATGCAAAGCGCTGTTTGTCATATTTTTGCTGTCATTAAAATATAAAAACATAAATATTCTAATTTGTAAAAATATAAATTTTATATTTCAGTAATTTTGTGTACTAGTTGAACTAGCACAAATTTACATAACAAATTATTGCATTTTCTCATCTTTATATTTATAATGCAATTCTTTACAATCATCTTCGGATATTTTGATCCAACCATCTTCCTTCAAGTGATACACACGTATAATGCCACCAGAGTAGGCATCCCTGAATGTAGCATGATAGATAGCACGACGTCCCAAATCATAAGCCTCCTCATCCTCCAACTCATACTTGTAGCCCGAATCCAACACACCATAAGCAAATATAGAACCACTACCAACGGAAAATACATTTCCCGACGAACGTGAACCTTCTGAATCGACATAATACAGACCGGCACCTTTATCATCATAACCAGCCAACATCATGCCCATACTCAAGCCCATGCCTTTGTATTCGTGCGCAATATTTGCCATTATTTTGCTAGCCGCAGCAACCGAGATATGCTTTCTATTCCGCAACTCATGCAAACGGCATTCCTTGGCGAGCACACGATCCCAGTAAACACAATCTGCAGCGCCGCCTGCTAATGTGCCCAATAAGTATTTATTGATTTCGACAATTTTCTTCATCTCTTGTGAACCAATAAATTGTCCGCCTGTCGCACGCGAGTCCACGGCCAAAATGACACCACCTTTATATTTGAAGCCCAAAGTTGTAGTGCCATGATGATAATCAATCTTAATGCCAGTTTTATCACCAGCAGCATGCAGTGCTTTTATATCGACGGGCTGTAAAAAAAAATAAATGTACAATATTTACATATTTATTTCATATATTTTTGCAAATCATGTTAATTTACTCACGCCGTTAGCTGGCGGTGCCAACAGGCAGTAAGGATTGCTGAGGTTGTAGGTCTGTTCAGCAAAGCTCATTGGATTATTCTTATTCTGCAAGTATTTAGCATTGGAAATGCCTGCAATTTCTGCCAAAGCCATTTCGAATAAAATTAATTTACTTCACGGAGCACAAAGTAATAAAACAATTCAATTCAGCAAACAAAATCAACTAGTTATGCTTCTTCTTTCCACGTAAAAAGTGTAGAGTCACAGTGGTAGTAAATTGGTGTTGCCAGCTGTGTATTAAGTATATACATTTAAGTATTTATCTATATATAAATAATTCTTCACGAAATACATATTTTTACGTATATAGGCAAGACTATTAATAGGTGTTTAACAATATTAAAAAAAGAAAAAAACAAAGAAAATATTATATAGATTTGATAAACTTTTTTATATATTAATTGCTCATATGATGCATAATTAACTGGTATCTGTCCTATTGGTACCAACAACTTAAACTCAAGTAAGATTTAATAAGGTATATGAAACAGTCTAGTTTTTTGGAAGAAAAAATTCATCGCAATTTTTATACTTTTTTTATTTTTATACTAAGAATGTATTTATATGCATATTACTGTACTGTGTAGTTCGTTTATCTACAACTCCAATTAGAGTACCCTATTTGTTATAAATAAAGAAAAGTATTATTTTGCCAAAAAAGATTGGAAAGAACAACGAAACTATATATATGCATAGAATGTGTTTATGTAGATATTGATAAAAACCAAGCACATAAAAACCGTAGCCGAGTGATAAGAGTGCAGAATGCCATAAAACCAACGAACAATGTTGCCAGCGTTGGATTTGAAAACAAGTGTATGAGGATACCGTTGTGTTCTTCAACCAATAAATCTAGCTGTTTTATATACATATATGAAAAGTCTTCTGTTTCCGACATTTTAGGCATGTAGATAATACTGCGTCTGCTATTCTTGTCGCCATCAGCACAATATCCGCGTTAACTCAAATCTCGTCATAGCCGATCTCGGCGATCTGATCGTCGCAAAAAATTAAAAGCTTCGTAAATAAGTTAGACAACAACAAATTTAGTTGAAGCTCGATCAAAAATACGCTGCAAATTAGTGTTATCGCCTTATTGCGTATTTAAAATAAACATATAGTCGTCCAGCGCTATAGTCGTCGGTACTTGTATGTGGAATATCAATATAGGTATATTTTTAATAGTTATGATTTTATTGACACAATTTTTCATAAATTCGCTTTAAACTAGTTTTGCATATTTAAAATTTTATCTCAAATAAATTCTAAATCTTAAAAAAAAACCTCTATTTTTTCTAAAACAATATAATTCTTAAAAAACATTACTCAAATAATATTAAAAATTTCTTTAAAAATATATAGACCAAAAAAAAAGTAATTATTGAAGCATTAAATATAAATAAAAAAATATTTAAAAATAAATTTCGAAAAAATATGAATCATTTCAAATAAAAACATTAAATTATTTTTAGTTAATGTTGTTGGAAAAGAGACAAAAACAAGTTTAAAATAAATGAAATCTTAAAAAAATAATTTTTGGATATATGTAAATTATTTTAAATAAAAATATTAACTATTTATTTTGTAATGTTGTTTCAAGTAATATGTAATTTAGAATAAAATAATTTTTCACAAATTTCCAACATGGAAAATAATAGGAACATTTATCTACTAGGATACTCAAATATATTTTTTTTTAATAAATTATAACAATTTTATTCAAAAGTTCGTTCATAATTACCAAAAAACAATTTTAATTAGAATATTAATAATACAAATTTAAATTTTTTTTGTAAAAATTTAGTTCTAATTGTTACATTATCATTTTAATTTAAAATTTAATAGTTCTTTTGATTTAAATTTTTCGAAAAAAAACACTACAATCTTCTTGTCATTGATGATAAAACTTAGCAAATATGTATGTATGTTTTGCAAAATAAATAATTTTTTCTATTTCAAATTGCATACTTCTCATGCAGAAAGTAAAATGCTTGAAAAAAAATTAGAATTTCTTACATAATTTCTCAAAACTGAAGTAATACAAATATACATAAATTTTAAACTTAAGTTTTTTATGTTTTAAATGTGTTTTTATTAAAAAATTTTTTCAGCATTTATTTAATTTTTTTTTTTTCAAAATTATTTTTACTAAATAAATGTACATATATATTTTTTATTTATATAAATTTCTATTTTGTGTAGGTTTCTAAAATTTGCAGTACTATTTTTTGAAAGAAATTATAAAAAATTGTAAAATAAGATATAAAAAAATAAAAATTTATATATTGTACAACTATAATATATTTTTGTAGAATTTTATTTGCAGTATCAAAATAAATTTTTTTTTTTAAATTAAAATTATTGAAACATTTATTTTTTCAAATTATTTTATTGAATTTATATACAATATTTTCTGATTCAAATATGTATAAAAAATTTTTTAATTTAAATAAACACTAAAAATATATGTATGTATATTATATTATGTATGTGTGCATTTTTTTAGTTTCACAGAATATTTTTCTCGAATTTATTGAATTTTTTTTTATTAAATTGATTTAAATGTATATTTTTATTTTGTGTACGTTTCCAAAATTTTTTATATTTTTGAAAATTTTAAAGAGCTTATTTATTTTAATTTTTTTAGCAAATTAAATTTTTTTTGTAAGAATTAGTCGAAAAAAAATTTTTCCGAAACTATTATTTTTTTATTAAATTTATATGTTCTTTGATTTAAATGTATTTTTTTATTTTGTGTACTTTTTTACAGTTTGTAGTGCTCTATGTTTGAAAATTTTGAAAATATTTTTTATTTATTTTTTAAAATTTTTTTAAAGAATTTTTGGAAACAAAATTTTTCCGAAATTCTTTCTATAATTTTTTATAAAAAACGTAATTTATAAACTACTATTTTACGTAGATTTCCAAAAAAAAGTTCTCTCAAATTTTTTAATAATTTATTTTTAGTTTACAAAATCGACAATAAATAAATTCCCCGAAAATACCTGTCCTTACTCTATGCATTAGTACGTATACGTACGTTTACATATATGTAAATAACTTGCCTTATCATATTCACCGA